AAGAGGGTGGAAGGGAAGGTCCCAGTCTTGATTAAAGAGCTAATAGAGACAGGAGTACTTAAGGAACCTATCCAATAGCTGGCACAAACTGCCACTTTGGCCACTGAGTCCTAATGAGACTTCTGTACCGCATGTGTCAGTGACTGACAATTATGTAAACTAGCACCTCTGGCAAAAAGATGTGGCCACTAGTCAATGGCACGCTCTGGGGTTATGGACATGGTGCATAGGTTAGAATATGGCTATATTTGATGTCTTCAGAATCTTAAATAACCCATTATGAAGACCTAACTCAGGAGGAATCGTGAAACTTTCTCTATTTTTTTAATTCTATGCCCTCCATTTAATGAGGGTTGGACTGCCTCACCTTTAATATTACAGAGTAGTACCTAAGTAGAATCCCTCTTTCTCTAAGCAAGCTTCTTACCATTGCTGGGATCGAGGCAGGCAATTAAATGTTTTGATTTTAACCCCTAATTCTTTTAACACCTCTTAGGCTATAAACAGAGATGGTGATGATATCTGTGTTCTTTAACAGAGGAGGTGATATAAAAAAGTCGAAAATATATTTTTCACAAATAAACTATAATGTATGTAATATGCATCTGTTTATACCAAAATTGCGATTCACCTCTTCTCCACAGCCACCCTTTACTTTATGTGTACATGAGCAGTAACGTGGCTAAAAGATAAAAAGTAAAGAAATTAAAACCGAGTAAAATGCTTTGTATATATGAGGAGCTATTTTTCCCACAGACCCTGAAATTTGAAGGGAGGAAGGTAGATTTCAGATCAGTCATTATATAAATTCTAGAAATTAGCTTATAACCTCATCTGCTATCATATTTGTTGTTCTCTATAACCTAGTAAGTGCACTACCATTAATGCTTCCTGCTCACTTCCTGGGACATCCATGTGAAGGGAATAAAAGACATTTTCTATGTCTGAAGGGCACTGAACTAGAAATTTTAATAGAGTATTAGAAAAAGAGATCTAATATCACAGATTTCTACCTTTTGCAGATAACGCTGTAGATCCAGATGTATCCGCCAGGACGGTCTTCATAGATGTTGAGGAGGTCAAGAATAAACCTTGTTTGACCTTTACTGATGATGGATGTGGGATGACACCTCATAAACTACACCGAATGCTCAGGTACAAATATCTTTATTCTTTTTCTCTTGTCTTGAGTTCATGAACTCTATTTAAGGCTTAATGATTTTCTTTAATATTTTACTTTCCCTTTATTTGTTCAGCAAGTATTTATTGAACATCCGTTATGTGCCAGGGCAGTGGTTATGAAATAGACACTGTTCTTGCCCGCAGAGAACTTACAGTCTAGCTGGCACTTCAGACAATTAGGCGGTAATCATTAAAAAATAAGTGTGATAGGAAAATATAGGATGCAATGGGATAAATCAACAGAGAAACCTAATCTGATCCAGGAGATCAGGAAAAGGCTCATAGATGAAGTATTTTTATGCTTGAGATCTAAGGGTGAGCAGCAGAATTTCACAAGGTAAAAGCAAGGGGCAAGGAATGAGAGTTCAGGCAGAGAGAAAAGCAAGTGTAAAGACCGGGAGGCCTTCACTGGTCTGAGACCTTCTCCATTTTTATTAACCTAAACTCACTCTTAGATCAGGAGTATTATAATTGGGATGATTTTGGGGTTAGTACCATGAACATACCTGGGTATAATCAAGCCCCGTGAACGATAAATAGAAGGCATTCATAAACAATATTTGAAGGCTTTGCAGTAGAATTGCAAAGT